ATTTATTAGATAGTTTAAAGCAAGAATTGGTAATGGAAAAATTAGTTAACTAATTGTCCTTAACTATCTGTCCTTAGAAAGTGAATTTATTATTTAAATTTATTGAATTTCCGTTGCGCTTTCTTCAAATTTGACTCGGGATTTTATAACTATCGTTATCCAATACTTTGTTTACCCTTGTATTCAAAAATGCCCTACTTAACTTGAGCATTTTCGTTATTTTTAGAAATATGAAGAAACTTTGTTAACGAAAGTTATTAAGTAAATACAAAGGGGATTTATAATAGGTTCAATGCAATAGGTTATATAAAATTAAGGTTAAAATATCTACTAAACTAATAATTTATCGATATAGATACACTTTCTTTACAGAAAATGTCAAGTTGCAGCGATTAATGGATTAGAAAATATATATTTATATAACATTTTTCTCTTATTTTCACTCATCTAGAAGTTATGCCGAATAAAATAGGGATACCCTATGTTTAATGTAATCAAAAAAGTTTTCCCATCTATAAACCTAATGCTTGTCTTTTTTTAATCCATTTGATATTGTTTATCATATTATTTATTAAGGTTAATGTTACATATCAATATTCGTGCTTATTAGAATTTGTTTAATTAGAAATTTTGCACATCCTTCGCATCTCTCGCATTTAGATAGTTTAAAGAATTTACAACCAGATAAATTTCATTTAGTTTCTAGTATAAAGAGTTTTCATGCACAGTAGCAATTGTTTGTATTGTCATAAATGCACGCTCAGAAATATCGTACAGGTTTTTAGATGATTTTTAAAATAAGCCCCATACCTATCACTCTATGCGAATCAATTTTGTGGGGTGGTAACGAGAAATTCTCGAAATCTCTTTCATACTTCCTAATTGTTCTTAATATGCTCCCACCCCCTTTAGAGTTTTTGAAAGAGGAGACAAAAGATTTCTCCCAGAAAATCCCAATCATTCACAGTGGTTCAGAACATTCAGAAGTAATCAGTTAAACTCACTTGTCATTCAATAGTCATTAAGTAGTGATTCAGAGTCAATTGTTAGAGTTAGTATCTCTAATTGTCAACTAGTCAATCAAAGTTGTCCTCAATCAGTCAGTAGTTAAATGAATCAGTCGAAATCCAGTCTGTTCTTAGCTTAATTCATTCAGAATTTGTTGTCTACCGGAAGCATTCAAGCTTCTTAAACAAAGCCAAATCGAATTATTATTTATTCTCACAACCACATTTATCTTTTTATTAAGTTCAATAGTTTTGATCTTTTCTAAGATCATGTTGTCATCAAAGATCATTGTTGATCTTTTCTAAAATCATGAAATATAATATAATCAGCCATTCTTCAAGGATATTTTTTATATATGATATGGAATCACTCTTTCTTCCATATTATTTATTGTCAAGCAAATATCATCGAACCATGACGTATTTTTTTGTTGGCTTTCTTTTGAATTGTCTTTTTCAAATCTTATTAGATTTTTCCAAAACGTGTTATGCGTTTCAAACGTATTATGTGTAGATATATCAGTTTTTTTTGTCTAATTTGATATGAGATCAACATCAACATTTAACATTTATGGCATTTTCCCTTTCTTTTTGCTGTAGCTGCTAAGACCGTTGAAAAACTCCTAATGATATTTCCACTTCTGTCTCCTAATTTTGATATTTCAGAAAAACTTTCGTTTTCTTAGCTCTGCCGCATCTTATTTTTGTAATGCTTAAAAAAATTACTCATTGATTATTATGAATTACGTTACAACACGACAATTATTTATTCAATTGTTAAAATCTGATTTGTTCACCT